TTTTCCAATAATTTCAAGTGTTTAAGCGGCTTAAATTTGGATTAATTTCTCATTCACCAAATAACGAATTCCGCTTAAATCATTTAAATTCGTCACAACCAATTTTCGATACAAAATTCCAACAATCCCTCACATGAATGATAATTAATGCAAATGACTATACAGACACTAGTAGAGAGAGGACGGAAACACTGCATCAGAGAATGTAGCTTCTGGCCTTGAACCTCCCTTAGTGAAATACTATCGGACTTACTGGCTAATTGGTGAATGTGATGTCATGAACCATTCAGCCGTTGGTATAAGTCAAGACAACAATACTCACACAAATGTCTTTCCCTAAATCGTTCATAGTTCTCATGATTGTGTCCATTTTGGCCCGGACCACTCTTGGTTTCATAAGTGTTCAGAGAATTTTAGCCTCGAACAATTCTCATGGAAGCGGCCTCACTTCATACTTACATAGGTGATCTCCTATTAAAAGTATTCTGCCATACTCTACTTGATTTAATCAAGATATAGGAATAATTAAAAGAGTATCTTAGCCTTCAATCATTCTGCAGAAAACACTTTAATTATCATAGGAATAATTTCCTAAGTGTTTCATGGAATCTTCATAACTTAGTTGTCCATTTGAATCAAGATCTTGGGATCTCCAGTCAATAAGGTAGGGTTACCATTACAAAGACTCTTATGTAGTAGGCTTTAATCTCATTCCCCTCGATATGCAGTATTCTTGATCNATATTTTACGCAATCACAATTTTGTATAAATCATCTCACTTAATTTCATCAAATTAATTGAGACTATCATCATTAATGTAATTTTTCATATTCTTAAAAGGAATAATCACGAAAATTCATATACTTTCAATAATTAGTTGGCATTCTTCCAACATGTATACATTTCCAATTGTTATGAGTAAATTTTCTCATTTCTATCAATTCGTTGCCTGAATTGTATTACTCTCGACAGTATCCAATTCATCACGATTAAGGTGATGAAATAGCAATTTATGTTCTAAACATTAATATATTCATTGTATAAGTTTATTCCATTTTAGTCAATGCATATCGTGATTAGGAATATCAATATCTTGAGAAAATCCATACACTTTCATATTTAGAAATATAGTCATTAATCTCAATCTCGATCAATTTACCAAGACCAAAAGGTCAACCATTGATATGGTACAAACCTCGAACATGTCATGATATAAAACATATAATCTGTTTTATACTAAACAACATGAAGACAATGAACTCTGCCCTTTCATTTGCCGAAAGATATGAAGAAATTATTTTTAAAAAGTAAATTAAATCTAGGCATCACCCATTAATTATTTTCACATGCAATTGCCACAAAATCCAAAGACATGCTCTATCATTTTTATTTTATTTTTTATTTTTTTAAACTCATGAAATGGCAGGTAACATTCCGCTAACTCCAACAGGCATTTATACATATAAGTATATACTAGCATAAAGCAACCAAAGACTCCGTTTAATTTCATTTTATCCAAATCGTGGGCTATCCATGACTTTGGAATTATACATGCAATATCATGATTTACATTATAACACGCACATCAACAAAGTTCATCTTAAAATTATAGGAGATTTTACACCGATAATGTGCATATTATATTTATCAAAAACATGTCGTTAATATGCGTCAAATCGAAATATCATTCGACTTACCGAAATCTAATTTGAGAAGACAAATTAGTGAATTACCGACTTCAAATATATGAATATGGATTCATCACTTTTCAATCTTGAACGAGTGTCATTCTTTAACTCAAATCTTGCAATAAAACATATAAATAAATTAACTATATTCTGAAATCAAAAAAATATAGTTACTTTCCGAAATCAAAATACTAAATTAGAATGAAATCGGAAAAAGAAAGATGATTTGCAAGTGATGTGATCGGCCAGGCAAGTGTTTGACACTTTATCCTTAAGATGAATTTCCCCCGCATCGGTGCTAACGGTTTCTAGCAATCATGTCCCAAGATACAATGACCACGTCAATTCATAGGAGCACTCCAAATGGCTTAGACCAACGAGCTCGAACAGAATTCTCTCTACCATAACCATGATTTTGATACAAGTGTTTTATGCAAACTAAAGTGTAAGCATGGAATGGAATGATATGGCACTATCACTTTGAATTGTACTCAATCCAAAAGCACGAGGATTTATATATAATAGTTGGAAATGTTTGTCAAAAGACACAACCATATCAAGAAATACATCTCTTGAAATTAAGATTCATAATTATTGGAGAGTAATCATACCAAAAATCATAATCTCCAAAGGTCATGATCTTCCATATAAAAAGACACATTTTTTCATCTACACATTTTTAAAAATATTTCACAATATTCTACACGATTTTCCAATAATTTCAAGTGTTTAAGCTGCTTAAATTTGGATTAATTTCTCATTCACCAAATAATGAATTCCGTTTAAATCATTTAAATTCGTCACAACCAATTTCCGATATAAAATTTCAACAATAAAAAAGTTTTTACACAAAAATGAATTTTGATCTTATAAGTACATTTTTTTGTTATAAAGTACTTGTTTGAACAAAATATGTGATCTGAAAATTATTATTTTATAGAATGTAAATGTGGAAGAGAATTTGAGAAACGATTAAAACATACTACTAATTTGATTGGTTGAGAAATACGATCAAATTACAGTACCTTGATTCCAAGTGGTGTTTAAACCATTCAAAACTAGTGTTCAAAAAAATTAATAAACATCAATTTTTCTAATTTCTCATAAATGGTATCACCCAAAAACAGTCAAAATCGGTGAAATATAACTACCTAGCAAGTCCCTAGCATTTTTTATGGTTTTTTGGCCTAATAAATCTTGATTTCATAAAAAATCAAGCCCATATTTGTACTTTATTCTTTAAAATTCATTTTCAACTACACGCTCTTTTAATAAATAATTATATATATTAACTCGAAACTCTTTCTTAATTATAACCACACATTCTTGAAAAAATTAGTTTTTTGAAGAATTTATTCTAAAAGGGGGGCTCAAACACGACTTAGCCCCTGTTTGAGCCACATTCTAATTTTCAACCACACATTTTTCAATAAAATAATATTTTTCATCACATCAATAACTTTTTCTTCTTTTTTAACCACACATTCACCACCACATCACAAAAAAAATACGTTCTTTTCATTTTAATGTGCATCAAACACACTTTTAGTATATGTGTTTCCCTGCAACTTCTTTTGACAAACGAATTCCTTGAGTGGTAATTATATAAAACCAGGCATTAAGTTTAACATTTTTAAAAATTAGGTTTTGTCTTTATTTAATAAAAAATCAGGTTTTCATTTCACAATTAATAATAATAATAATTTAATTTATCTATATACCCAGAACCCGCCCACTTCCTACCCCCACAAACCCTAAATCAACCCTCACCATTTCTCTCTACTCTCCCTCCATTCCCTCNCGATTTCTAGCAATCATCTCCCAAGATACAACGACCACGTCAATTCATAGGAGCACTCCAAATGGCTTAGACCAATGAACTCGAACGAAATTCTCTCTCCACCATAACCATGATTTTGATACAAGTATTTTTATGCAAACTAAAGTGTAAGCATGTAATGGAATGATATGGAACTACCACTTTGAATTGTACTCAATCCAAAAGCACGAGAATTTATATATAGTAGTTGGAAATGTTTGTCCAAAGACACAACCATATCAAGAGACACATCTCTTGAAATTAAGATTCATAATTATTGGAGAGTAATCATACCAAAAGTCATGATCTCCAAGGGTCATGATCCAAAGGTCATCTTCCATATGAAAAGACACATTTTTTCTTTTACACATTTTCTAGAATATTCCACAATATTCTACACGATTTTCCAATAATTTCAAGTGTTTAAGCGGCTTAAATTTGGATTAATTTCTCATTCACCAAATAACGAATTTCGTTTAAATCATTTAAATTCGTCACAACCAATTTCCGATATAAAATTCCAACAATAAAAAAGTTTTTACACAAAAATGAATTTTGATCTTATAAGTACATTTTTTTGTTATAAAGTACTTGTTTGAACAAAATATGTGATCTGAAAATTATTATTTTATAGAATGTAAATGTGGAAGAGAATTTGAGAAACTATTAAAACATACTACTAATTTGATTGGTTGAGAAATACGATCAAATTATAGTACCCTGATTCGGAGTGGTGTTTAAACCATTCAAAACTAGTGTTCAAAAAAATTAATAAACATCAATTTTACTAATTTCTCATAAATGGTATCACCCAAAAACAGTCAAAATCGGTGAAATATAACTACCTAGCAAGTCCCTAGCATTTTTAATGGTTTTTTGGCCCAATAAATCTTGATTTCATAAAAAATCTAGCCCATATTTGTACTTCATTCTTTAAAATTCATTTTCAACTACACGCTCTTTTAATAAATAATTATATATATAAACTCGAAACTCTTTCTTAATTATAACCACACATTCTCGAAAAAATTAGTTTTTTGAAGAATTTATTCTAAAAAGTGAGCTCAAACACGACTTAGCCCCTGTTTGAGCTACATTCTAATTTTCAACCATACATTTTTCAATAAAATAATATTTTCCATCACATCAATAATTTTTTCTTTTTTTTCAACCACACATTTCCCATCATATCACTATTTAAAATCAATTTTTCCCCCAAAAATCTCT